AACAGTAATCGTGAAAAGAGTTATTACCTAAAAAGTACAGTCATTATTAACATCTTTATAATTAACGACTTTGGAAAAAAAAAGAGGGAATTTTTTTTTTTTCTAAAAAAAATGGTCCTTATATTAAAGATTAAATAATGCAGGAGTTTTGTCATACATGTAAAATCTCTTTTTTCTGACTGAATAAATCTAATTTTTTTGGAAAAAATCATTTAGTGTATTAATAAAATGATCTTTCTGAAATGTTTAAGCAAAATTATAAACGTAAAGATGTAGAGTTTCGGTTAATTGTAAGAGTAATTACATCTGATTGTGTCATGAAGATAGCAAAAAGTTGACTTTTCAAAATAAAAGATAGATTGTGATATGTGATTTGATTAAGAAAATAACATTAAGAGAATTCAATTTTTTTTTTAGATCAGCTTTCATTTATTGCCAGCCACCAGAAGCGGTCGGTTATCTGAAATGAAAGAATTTGCCTGTTTTGTTTGTTTCATTTAACGTCCCTTTCGAGAATTATTGAGACGCTACCACTTGCTGGTGGAGCGCAGAAAATGCTAGACATATACTCGGCACTCAGGGCAAATAAGCAGTGAGGGATCTTTTTTGTGCTAGCACCGATTATTTTTTGTCAACATATGTAAAAAGAATTACATTAGGTATCTATGTATGTACGAAGAATGTGCTGCTTTTTTTTTTTTTTTTTTTTTTTTTTTTTTTTTTTTTTTTTTTTTGTGATCACATGTATTTAATTCCCCCAAAGTGATGTTCAATCTCTTGTTTTGACGCCTTAAAAACAAAAGGACACTTACATGGTTTTTTTTTAAATGGAAATAAGTATGTTTTTCATAGGCTTAATAATGTCTACAACAAAGTTGTAAAGAGCTAGGATCACTAACACCATAAAATGGCTTTTTTCCTATACGTATTAACTGACGGAGTCCCAATGTTCCATTTTAAATATCAGTATAAAGTAGATATTTATTGCTTTCATTTCCAATAAAAAAAAAGTTTCCTTTGAGAGTTCAGGTATTGCAAAATAGGCTTTGTGAAATTGCAATATTCTTGAATTTTGACGAAAATAGATGAATTTGAGCATCTTAAGCTAATAATTATATTATGAGCCGACCCCCGATCCAAAGAAAAATTCATCGTTAAAAATCTTCTGAAACAGTTCTTTCATTATATATTTAAACATTTTAAATCCGAGGTTAGGGTTTATGCTAAATATTGAAAAACACTTAAATTTTTGGCCATTTTTAAAGAATTTTTCAAGATTTGAGGAAAAAGACTCAATTCATGACGTCACAATACGTGGAATAGAGAGAACATAACGTCATTTTTAATTGACATGAGGTCATCAAGGGTCCAAGTAAAATTTAACATATTTTCAACTCAAACTGAGCAGTTTTGATTTTTCAGAAATTCACAGGGCCAGAAAAGGCCCTAAGTGAACTTTGTTCTTCCTTAACTAAACATTAAAAAAATCATTTATAGTTACAAAAGAAAAAAAATGTCTTTATTTTTTTATAAACAGTCTTTCCAGATGTCTCTTATATTCCTGATGAAGTTTACTCTCCAGTTCCAGAATCAACTACTTCAAAGAAAGAAACACAAACATAGATAAATCAATCATGTTTAGAAATGAACTGAAACAAGCTAATTCAGAGAATTTGTGTCCTCCGCTTAGGGAAAAAAAGAAGAGCATGCGCAGTTCGGGGGGGGGGGGTCGAACCCCCCCCCCCCACCCCCCCGGATTTGTAGAATTATTAAATGTATACATGTATATTGAAGCAAATAGAAAATGCCAATATGGACAATAAAGATTTGATTGCATATTCTTTAATATGTGTATAGAAGATTCTTTTTATATAGAATATTTATCACACTGTAATAATGATTTTATGAGTTTTTACAAGCCAGACGTCATAATTTTTTTCATTTCACATGCTGAATACTATCATTTAGTAACCCCCACCCCACCCCAAAAAAAAATCAAATTGAAAAAAAGAATCGTCCAGGATTTGAACCCGGGACCTCTCACATTGCTAGGAGAGAGTCATACCTCTAGACCACGGAGGTAGTTGATTATACAGCAATTAAAATGCAAACATAAGGTCACATATAATGTTTATATTCACCTTCGATATTGTGAAAAATTTTACACAATACATGGTGTCTAATTTAGCCTTTACTAAACAGTTCTAAAAGATGTTATAAGAATATAAAGTCCGCCGACAACCTGTATTATACATAATATCTCTCTATATGCCCCTGTGCTAAAATAGTGTCAAGCGACTTTTTATACAATAAACAATAATAATAATAAACAAAAAACGGGGTGGGACACTTTGAGAGGGGCGAGAGAGGCCCTAGGGAGTTATGTTATAAAATTTCATTGCAAAAACTAAAAAGCTTCTTGAGATATCGCCCGGAAACAAAAGTGTTACATACAGACGGGATGTATGAATTTACGACCTTGAACTTTGACCTTTTGACCTCAAAATCAATAGGGGTCTTCCATAGGCCACATAGTTATGTAAATGTCATTGCAAAAGCTCAAAGGATTCTCCAGATATCGCGCGGAAACGAAAGTGTTTCAGACAGACAGAAATACAGACGGACGGAGGACAAAAAGCGCGAAAAAAGGAAGTGGTATATCTACAACAAAGTAAAATTCATCATTTCAGTTTGTACTTAAATTTAACTTACTCGTCTGTCCTATTCTCTGGGGTTTTCAGCAAAATTCTGAAAAAAAGATACTTAAAATGATAAAAAAAAAAATTACTAATTCAATATGCATGTGGGAGATATTCCTTAATTTTCAAATACATTTCTAAATTTTACCAGAGCAATTAAATATTTATCCGTATTTTCAAGCTAGTATCGAAGTACTTAGCTCCTGGGCTGTAGATACCCCAGGGGACTAACAGTTCACAAGCAGAGGCCTCGACCCTATGAAATTAATCAAGATAAGTTAATTAAGGTAGTCCGATCCTCAGGTTCTAAAAATCAGCTTTTAAGTAATTGAAAATGCTCACAAATTCGTCTCTGATATCACATAATAATGTGAATTTACCATTTCTTCAAAGTTTATCATTATAGTTAATCATATTATATAGGGAAAATAATCAAATCTCAAATATATTTTCAGGAAATGCAAATAAAAACACCAGCTATGCATTTTCTAATTGAAAATTGTTCAACAAATATAATTTAGGATAGAAAATTATAGGTATCCAGGCATTTGGAGAAAATTGCTTCTTTTATTTGCTTGTACAGTATTTTTAGTTCTTCTTTTAACTTCACTTGTCAAAAAATACATAGTGTAAAAAGCTTGTTCTATCATTGCTAGACATCACATATGACATCTAATTTCATATCATGCTAAAAAAGCAGTGGTATCTAATGCTAGAATAAAGAAAATTCGATTTTTTCTCTGAAAATGAATTCATTTTTTTTCTTTTATGGGGTGCAAATGTCAACTATTTACAAGACAGTTTCTAAGACTTCACAGAACCTTGAATCATATTAAGATGCATAAAATGAAAATTGTTGCACGAAAAGATCTCAATTTCAAGCTTCATTTTGGGACTTTTTGAATAAAATAATAAATTTAGGAGTTATCCTTCCTGGATGAGGATCGTATATCCTTAAGAAGACGATAAAAATATACTTAGGTGGTTATACAGTTAAAACAAATTAAACTCTCAAACTAAAACAAGGAAATACTTTTTTATACGGGAATTTCGGTTAAGACAATGCACACGGGGGACACAAATTCTCTGAATAGCTTGTTGTATTTATGTAGCCTTCAACTCGACATTTAGATATATCGACGACGTATTGTCAATTAACAATTGTTGTTTCCATTCTTATGTCGATACGATAAATTCCGATGGCTTGAAATAAAAGATACCACAGAGTCTGACACATCTGTTTTATATTTGGATATTTTACTAGACAAAGACGTTAATGGTAATATAACAACCAAGCTTTATGATAAACGTGATGACTAACTTTTCAATCGTCAACTTCCCTTACTTATGCAGTAATATACACTTATCACCTGCATACGGGGTTTACATCTCTCAATTGATTCGATACGCAAAAGCATGCTTTGCGTATGAACAATTTCTAAAACGAGGTAAATTATTGACAAATAAGTTGATGAAACAAGAATATTAGCTGTCTCGTTAAAAGTCATCATTTCGGAAATTCTATAGTCGATACAATGACCTTGTCAGCAAATACAATCAATCATTAAGTCAAAGGCTGTCTTACGTTTTTCATACTAATTGTTAGGCCATTATTTACACACTGAATTGTCAACGGATTTTCCCGTTATTTCCCGATCATGACAAGGAGCACACGGCGGGTGTGACCGGTCGGCAGTGGATGCTCACTCCTCCATGGCACCTGATCCCACCACTGATGTTTTAGAACTTATGAAATTATGACTTTAAACGAGACTGCTTAAAACTGAAATACTATAAAAGAAAATACATCTTTTTTCTTGCTTCCTTTATAGAACATAAAAAAGAAAATATATTTACATATATGTTTCGATTATCTATGATTACTTTTAAACTAGATTTTTTTTTAATTCACTCAATTCATTAAACAAATTTAAATCAATAATATTGTTTTAACCATTGAACAGATCTACCAGAAAACGATCATGTGAGACCTCATTAATCATGAATAGGCAGATCTTAAGGACTGCTATATATAACAGAAGGGAAGACAATAGAAGCATATGATTGTCCTGGTAGTACCCACCGTTTAATTTGACAAATATATCGTTTAAAAAAAAAATGTTTGTAAGTCTTACAATGATCAGTCTCTACCTTTTTGGACAAATTCTAGGTCTATTACAGACTTGCATCTCTCAGTGCTTCGATCCATTCGATCCAAAAACTTTGCTCATTAGCAATTATGAAAATTCCTCATTCCCTGGTTTTAAGCTTTTGACCAGTGCTGACATCGCAACGTGCATAATGATTTGTTTCAAGTTTAAGTTGTGTCGCTCAGTGGATTGGATACAAAAAGAAAATACATGCCGGTTTAACACAAAATTTGGCATCAAGAGTGAAGGTAGTCTAGTGACTAAAGACCAAATCTTTCATGTCGAACGGGAAAATTTCTCATCGGTAAGAAGGAAATCTTGAAACATTTAAATAAGAATGTATTGAATCACATAATTAAGGAATCGTAACTATGAGTTTATTTAATTTCAGCACTTGGCAGGCAAATGTCTGAATCATTCCTGTACTGAGAATGACATCTGTATTGCTGGGAAATGTGTTCCTGTTTTAGAAGGTAAGCTATAACTTCAGTTAGATTTACTGTAGGAAATGTCTTTTAAAAGTAAGCTTACATACCACTTTTATAATGCTTTATAAAGATTATAATCATCCTGGTTATGTCGTTTGTTTGTATGAGATTGAAAAGATGAGTATTTTATTGTCAAAGTTTTGTATGTCGTATAATAAGACTGTACAACTGAACAAGCTTGTTTATTACATTAGATGAAACAATAAACTTGAGGGGAAAACATTGAAAGATACTTTAATCATAAAGCAACAGTAAATCGAAATGGGATTATCGTGTTTTACGAATTGAGCTTATTAATGTACTTCTATAAATGCTTTCCTATAGAAAAACAAATTCTCTTGCAAATTTTAGAAAAACCTCAAGATACACGAATACCAAATTATATTCTTGAAAAAATAGTTTGACTCTGTTGTTCAGGGTGAAGTTTGAATAAGGCTGGCATCTGCGATTATGAATATTGCAAATTAAAAGCTTTTTAAACCGCCACGTTTTACTGAAGAATATGCTGCTAAAACTGTATCAATATCAGAGACATTGGAGTATTTATTCAATGAAATATATGGAGATAAAGAACAGTATTCAAGCTCAAAAGTCCATTCAAACAATACAAATCAGGAGCAGAGCAAACACGGACCTCTAAAACATCAAAGGTGTGATCAGTTGCCATGGAGGAGTGAGTATCCCTTGCCGACCGGTCACATCCGCAGTGTGCTCTTTGTCATGATCGGGAAGTAACGGAAAAATGCATCGATAATTCTGTGTAAAAATAATGGCTTAACAATTAGTATGAAAAACGTCAGTCAGTATTTGATTAGAGACTGCTAACATTCTGTTTTCATAAACTTCTTTGTCAATAACCTACTTCGTTTTAGAAATTGTTCATACGCAGAACATGCTCTTGCGTATCGAATCAACTGAGAGATATAAATCCAGTGTGCAGGTCATAAGGGTATTTTGCTGCATAAGTAAGGGAAGTTGACGATTGAAAAGCTAAAGTCATCACGTTTATCAGATACATAGTGGGTTCCAGTAAATGTTCTACCAAGCCTCTGTCTTTACTCTTCACTAAAATATGAACGGTAGTGAAGGAGACACGTCAGGAGAACTGTGCATCAATATATTGGAGAAGTGGTGTAAATCAGCTGTGCATATCTAAAAATTCCAACTTTCAAATTTTCAACAGCCATTCCCCACGATGAATTAAAGTCCAGGCTTTTTGATATCATTGACGGCTACTTTTTCAATAAAAATGGGACTAGTAAATTTATTTATCTTGTCAGAGGTCATTTACATAATTATTTGGTTAAAAAACCGTATGATTGTATACACAAGTACTTCGAAATTAACATTAAAAAGATTCTTGAGTTTCTCATTCACAATATCTATGTGGTTTTTGGAGACCAGGTCTTCCAACATTCTGTTGGAATTCCTGTGGGTACCAATTGCGCCACGTTATTAGCAGACTTATTTTTGTATTCATATGAAGCAGAACTGGTTCAAAATATCATACAAGAGAAAAGAAACACTTGCTATGGCATTCAATTCGACATTTAGATGTATCGACGACATATTATCAAATAACAATAGCTATTTCCACACGATATAACCTAGTGTGCTTGAGCTTAAAGATACCACAGCGTCCGACACATCCGTTTCATATTTAGATATTTTCCTAGAAAAAGACGTTAATGGTTACCTACCAACAATACTTGATGATAACATGATGACTTCAACTTTTCTGTCTTCCACTTCCCTTATTTATGTAGAAATTTACCCTTATCACCTGCATATTGATTCAAGGTGTCCCAGTTGAGTCGCTACGCAAGAGCATGCTCTACGTACAACAATTTCTTAAACGAGGCAAGCAATTGACAAACAAGTTGATGAAACAAGGATATCAAGAGTCTTGTTTGAAGTCATCAGTTCGCAAGTTTTTTGGTCGATACAATGACCTTGTCAGCAAATACAACCTATCATCCAATACTGCCACTCTTGACATGACCAACAAACCAATGCGTTTTGTTTATTCAATAATTTTTATTCCATCTAAAGTTAAAGACTAGTTGAAATACATGTACATTAATAATAAAATTCTCATCGAGACGTTTCAAATGGTAATCTTTTTACGCTTTGTTAATATTAAGACATTTATACTGATTATTGATTTTTTTTATACTGAATAGAAAAAATTTATAAAGACTGTTCAGATATTGTGAAAAGAGACCCCGGCAAGAAAGGACAAAATGGGGTGTACGTTATTTACCCTGACACCCGGAGAGATGTTTTCTGTGACATGACGACAGATGGAGGAGGGTGGACGGTGAGAAGTGATTTCATTTTTTAATGATTACCGAATATTCAATAAAACGTCCTTTTATTAGGTATTTTAACTTTAACTGTAGGAAATTTAAGACAGTTGCAGGTCCTAAAGGTTATCATGAAAACAAATTTAACAAAACGTTATAATGATGACATTACGAGGGTTGTTCGGAAAGTTCGTGGACTACCGTCATAACTTTTTTACTTAACGTCACATTATATCCAAATTTGGAAGAAATATTTCAAATATAAATTCAAATGATGTGTACTAAACATTTTTAAAATATCGTGGTTTATTTCAAACTTATTTAGACTTAAAAAATGCGAAAATCGGATCACGGAGCAAGTCAAAATTGTAATTTACAACCAAGACACTAAATAATGTCTTCTGTAAAATGACACAAAAACGGAAAAATTCTATAAGTTCAAATTAAGAATTGTTTCATCGTTTTTGGTTCCATATTATGACTTGATACTTTGCTTCGTTGAAAATAAATCAGTTTCAGAAGATAGGTAGTCCTCATGGAAAAAGGCAAACAAGATGACGTCGTAGAACGTCACGGAGCAGAAGTTAACCATACAATTTTGTGTTGTACTCTGGAAAATTCCAGAAAAAAACTCTGAAAATGCCGGAGGAAGCAGGAAATATGTCGAAAGCGAGTCATGCATGTGTGTGTACATGGTACAAGCGGTATTTGAGTGATAGACTACTCTGCTTAGACGATGGTGATCTGTGAGAAAACGGATTATCTGTAAAAATCTTATCAAAAACATTGAAAGGGTAGTAACGTCATGCTACGAGTTTGGCGCTTCACAGATGCTGATCTTGTGAAAGCAAACTTATGCAGTGAAAAAAATATAACATTGACAAACAAAATGATGCTACTGGGACAATTGCTAGCAAAATAGATTTCAAGTGATAGAGAAACTTTTTTAATGAGTGCACTGGTATTGGGCAATACTGTGTGAAATATATAGGGAAAGTATTTTTTGAGAACCTCAGGTCGGTATGTTTTTGATGTTACAGTGTTGTTGAGTTTGCTCCGTGGTTACAAAACGTGTTGATTTTAAAATTAAATAACATGAATTCTATTAAATCACATGGAATGAAAATTCACACTTAAACAAAATAAATATTTTTTACACATTATAATGTGCTCATTTCAAATTTCTTGAAGATAGTATAACGAAGATTGGCATAGTCCACGAACTTTCCGAACAACCCTCGTATATCTCTTGCTAACTGTGATGTGTTAACTGTGTGTTAGCACATAACTAAGGAATCGCAATCGAAAGACCACCACTTTTCTTGATAAAAGCATTTGCTAAACATTAAGGAATAAACCCTTACATAACAAAAGGCAGTTGAATTTTAGTCTGTAATTCGGAGGTGTTACTGTACTCGAGGGCAGAGAAAAAAAAACAAAGTAACAACCCACAAGTTTTTGATTCGGAATTGGTTTATAAAGTCTTTAACATGTGTACATAATGCCAATGATAAATGCTTAAACAATTCTATAGTACTCAATTTTGTCCCATAACACCTCTACATCACAAAATAGTATACACTGGCATATATACTCGCTCGAAAATTTACAGATAATTAAGGAAAGTATAACAATGATTCGTGTTTCTTTACTTTAACAAGAAGCAATATAATAAAAATCTAGCATTGTTTACAGGTCATTCAGAAACGACAAGATGGTGACGTTGATTTTTACAGGACATGGATAGACTATAAACATGGATTTGGGGACGCCTCTAAGAACTACTGGATAGGTATGATCTTATGTTTTTATTTTATATAACTTGATTAATTTGAATTTTCGTAATAAAAGGAGACTATACATGTATTCATGTCCAGTTAACCTGACAAGTTCAATATTGTCGACTAAGTTATATACGAATAGTTGAAACGATATCGTATTTACATCTTATTCTCTTTCGACATTATCGCCATGAAAATATATGGACCGTAGATTTGAAATTCTTATTTTCATCTCTGTCAAGATCGCTGACATTGCAATTTTAACAAGCATATCAAACTTTAAAACTGGCCAAGAATTAAAATATAATTAATACTGATTTTTAAAAAAAATTAATTTCATAAGTTTTAAGATTTTTCCCCATATGATGGTTTTTTATAAGTAGCACAACAAATTTTGTGTTTTCCTGGAATATATTATTAAGCCCAGAAAATGACCACTAAAAATTAATTTTATCAGTCAACATATTTTTCAAAGAAATTAATAAAAGCTATTTAAAAAAAATAGATATAACTCATATACTCCAAAATACATGGGGAAAAATTAGGGAAGACTCCTGATAGTATAGAAGAAACGAAAACGAATTAAATTACAACAAAAAATTGAATTAAAATCAAATTTATTGATTTAGAAAAAAATATTTTCAAAATATGTGGCATCAAAGTTTCTTTTTAGAGTTATCTTTCCTATTACCTAGGACTCAAAAACTTTGGTAAGTTTCCGCATACGTCATCATACTCCAGTTACTCAGTCATTATTGGCAACTGAACTGGAAAGATATAAATGAGCAAAACTAGAAATGTACACTATTTATCAATATTTATAAACACCGAATGAGATAGGTATAAATGAAGCGCACAAATCAGTGTGCAAAAATATCAACTTTTCACAATACTCTGTTACAGAGCTTGTTGACGATATCTCAATGGATTGATTAGCCTGAAAGTATAAATAAACTTAAACGTTTTTGAGTAGATATACCTGTTATGTACGAATTATTATGCTACAAAAACTCAAACGTGTGCTGTTTTTTATTGAAAAAATCGAAACTTTTTTTCGGTCACGCTGTGAGATCTCATACCTTGTGTTCATTGTTCATGATCAAGGTGTCGCTTTCAGTTGACTGTATACTTTTCCTTTGACAAAACCTTTATATCTAAAGCGTTCATAAGACTCCCTTACAGGAGGTGCCAGTTAAATCGTCAGTGCACAAACTATATAAAACCGGAAGTAAAAGTATTTTTCTGATAAACGTCACAAGTCACGGGGTGTGAAGACAACACCCCGTGTCAGACAACACGTTCCTCAAAAATATATAATTTTACCCAAGAATTTGCAATTGAAGTATTGCTGATTAAACATGTTTCCTCACAAAACATTGAGGTGCCTTACCAGACATTTGGGCAAGATACCAGAGAGTAATATTTCTGATATTATCCTTATGGGTAATCTTTTGAATCGCCAATGTCACAATATTTGGTGTACCTATTTTTAAAAACATATTGAAAACAATTTAAAAATCACAAAAGAATGACAGGTATGAATAATTTGTGATATAATACCAAGAAAAACAAAACATATTTTGAGGAACGTGTCGTCACACCTCAATATAATGTTATTTCCAAATCTTGGCAAGAAACGCATGTGTCGAATTATATAGCATCATTAAAGAAATAGATAAATAAAAAGGCAGTCATCTGCTTTTTTTCAAATATTATAAAAATATTATAGTTAAAGAAAAAACGCGAATAGTAAGATGGTAAGCAAAAAATGAATATTTATCATAAGAGTTATTATCAATATAATTTCAAGTTAAAATGAATAATACAATTGACTTTTATGAAAATAATTATCCATTCAAACGAGTTTATTTCAACAATCCCCAAGATTCACAAGCCCAATGTTAAAATTAAAAAAAAAAGAGATGCTACCTATTTATTAAAGTATTGGATAGGCATAATTGATTCTTCCTTGAATTGTGTGCCAACAAATTGATTGCGCGTTCTGAAAATTTGTTTGCACACACCGTTGCAGTTATGAGACTAAATTTTTCAAAAGATAATAATTCAGTGCTTATATTTACATTTTTGAAATCACTATCTTTTACGTAAATGTGATTTATATTTCAAAACCCCTGTATTATTCTAGGCCTTCGGGTAAGTTACAAGTAATGGAAGAGCTATTGCAACAGCTACTACATCAAATTCTTCAATGTTAGCGGGGATTTTGATTTTCCCTTTGAATTTGGATTGGTGAGGTCAAAAGAAAATTCTTCAATTTTGATCTCTCCATCCTTGTTACGGTGTATTGAATGCCGAAGTTGTCCACACATCAGAAAAAAAAATACATGTGGAATCCACATATTCGTGTTTCTAAACATGGCGACAAGCTCTTTTATTGTTCATGTTTTTATTTTACCAGGTGTGTTCGTTTTGCTAACTGCACACATCACTGAACACGAGCTGACAACATTGATATGTTGGTTTTCTTTTCTTACATTTCTACTCTGAATTTTCTGGATCAGAGTTTTAATTTTTTTTTATTTATACACAACAAATGTTCCACTTTTTTTTAGAAACATTAAAGAAAACCTTAACTTTTTGAAAGTGCAGGATATGTGGCAATCAAACGCGTCCCGAAATTCGTATTTTTAATAATCTTAAGGTAACTGAGGTTTCTAAACATGCTCTTATTATATATCTTTCTGATATGATCAAGAAACATAAAATTCATGATATTATACAGAAGTTTTTGGGAAATATTAACTTCAAATCTGTCTCCAGGCCCCTTTAAAACATAGTTCTGTGAATATGCTTTGCCAAAAAATCCATGTATTGTCAACATAAAATTAATTTTGTTTTTAGCCTGAAATTGGCATAACTTGACCCATATCTCCAAATTCACATCACTGGATCCAACTTATTATTTCTTTTTTTTTTAATCTACAAGGATACTTCCTACCTTGCTTGGTGTAAAAAAAAAAATAAATTATTATTATTATTAAATATGATTACTTTTTTGATATCCAAAATATGAAAGAAAAGGTCAAATAAGAATTAACACCATTTATTAATGTACAAACTGTATTCAATAATATATAATTGAACTATTTTCGATAAATAATATATGGAGATAACGAACAGTAATGAAGTTCAAAAGTCAAACGCGTAATATATGAGAACTAGTCTACAATATGAACACTTGCGTGTGGTAGATATTTATGAACTGAAACTTCACTTATCGTTAAAAATTGGACGGCTAAGCAAAATAATATTTACCAGCGTACAGAATTTTCTGGTAACCGTTAAAACTGTAATGGATAATATATTGACGGTGTGATGTATTCCTCAGTAAACAATCGCATTTTGTTACACAGTTACATTCAATGATGTGGAGGATTGTTTTCGAGATATCAAGTTTGTTCACGGTAAATATGTTGGGAATATACGGAAGCGTAAAGGTCTCTACTCTTGTTTTGTTGTAACTTGTACATTGTTTTTATTACATTTTCCACAGTGAAATACTGTGATTTATTTATTGAATAAAAAGGATATTCTCTCACAGTGTGAAAGGATACCAAAATGATATTCTCTCACAGTGTGAAAGGATATCAAAGTAAGTAAAAAATAATTTCTGTCCTGTCATTAGATAGAGATAGTAACTAACCATCTTGATAAAGCTAAATCTGTATATTTCTTCGGAAATCCCAAATATGTTGCTTAAATCTATGCTATGTAATGTTTTCAATCTCACAACTGGTAAGCTATGACGTCTCAACCGCTCAACTATGACGTCAAGCCTATGACACTGTGTTAGGAAAAGACAGAGGCAAAGGGAAAATAAAAAAAAAATGTAATAAACAGAAAATTCAATGTTTTGTAGATGAATATGGAATTTATTTCACTCGTGAAAATATCAAAAAATCCTGTCCCACTCGTGAAATAAATTCCATATTCATCTACAAATATTGAATATCCTCTATGTATTTTATTGTCTTATCAACATATAAAGTGTTACAAATCTTTATTTATACACATATTCTGCATTGTATTCAGATGTTTTTACACAATTTTATGTACCTTTTCTTACTTAATTAATTTATTGTTGTAAGTATTATCGACCTAAAAATATCAATTTTAAGATATTGATATTAAAAACAAGATATTTGATGATATCAATATAGTAATATCGATTTGTAAAAATAAATATATGGCTATATCGATATAAATATATGAATATTTCCGAGAAAAAAAAGTAAGAAAAGAAGTTAGAAAATGTTGTTATTGAATTAACTTCGCGGGGGCGGGAATTGTAGGAATCTTCACATCTCTCGGGATTCAGTGAAAGGTCCTGTACCATGTATTTACTATCGTATTTGATTTTAGGCTGATACAGATTCAAATGTGTTTTGAAAAAAGGGGATAGAGAGACATCAGCAGTATCGTTATAGGGGGCTGCTGTCCCGGTCACTACTTTTTGAAGATGGGGAGAGGCAAAAGTGTCTTTGTGCTCCTTCTCAGGTTTTTTAAGCCTGAGTAAATAGTATAGATCCGCTAATATATCCCAAAAATAAAGAAGAATCCTTGCAATTGGATAATTAAATCTCTGGGGTTTTTTTTCTTGCTATATATTTTATTTGGCTGACCCCCACCCTTTCCCCTTTTTTACTTTGTGAATAAGCTTATGCAAATTGGCAGCAATGAAGCACAAATTATTTTACACTATTCTAAGTAATAAGAAGTTTGACCTGATGTGCTGATAGTTAAATTTTATCTGATATATTTATTTTCTTTAACAGCTTATATTTCGGAGTTTAGAGGGTGGGGGTTCAAGACTGTGAAGGTTCGCATCTATGTCGTAGATCCTATATTTACCACAGAGTAATAAAATATCAAATATCTAATTACAGAGTACAAAGCTAGTTTTATAATATTGTTACTTTCGATGTACATTATTCATCCACGAATAGCACTAGTACTAAATATATTTATGATTGGAAGATTGCAACGGGGGGGGGGGGGGTTAGCTGTCACTAATTGTTTTAGTCACAGCAATATTTATTCTTATTTCAAAGAAAGATTGATGAATTTTATTACTAAGAAAAATTATAAAACTACTTCAGTCATTTCTTAATAGTTAGAATGATGAAAATTGATATTTGCTTCAATGAGGACAATCTAACTGATCATGCCCCTCTCGGCCAATTTTTCAATACGTTTTTCCCTTTAATCATACAACAAATATTTGGCACTTTATAATAATAAATAATAATAATATCTTTTATTTATGCAGGATAGCACAATTAGTTTAGAAAACTAGTTTACATTGTGGTCCTGAAAACATTCATACAGACAGCAAAATTATGTACAGAAACAAATAAATATTACACATTTAGTCTAATAAAAATAATGTTTACACGTGCAATATAAAACTTGCATGTAATTGAACATAATCAATGAGATGTACATTTTTGTCAGTTTGTAGACTGGAAATAATTTCTGATATATGCTGATTTAAAACTTTGTAATGATGGATAACTCTTTAAAAATTCTGGCAATTCATTCCATATTTGCGAGCCGTATATTTTAAAAGATCTTCTATAATATTCTTTTTTTGCCCTCGGGATATACAATACATCGCTCTGACTTAATCTTGTAGGCCTATTGTTTATTTCATGTACATATTTAAAAACATCTAAATAATCTGGAGTTAATCCATGCAGGACTTTAAAAACAAGGATGATAGTTCTATAAATAAAATAGTCATTTATTGGCATCCATCTGAGCTGTAGAAACATTTCTGAGGTGTATAAAAGGTTTTATTTAAAATCACTCTAGCGGCTCGCTTTACACATGGCACATTGTGTATGTGCCGTAAGGTAATCTGAGAGATGTGAAGTTTCCTTAGAATTCCCGCGCCAGCAAAGTTAGTTGGAGAACAATATTTTCAAACATTTCCTTAGAAATACTAGCATATTTATATCAATTTAACTATTATGCATATATTTGTATTGTTGTATGTCGAGCTTACTATATCGATATCTTTAATTCTCAACCTGAAATCATAGATTTTTTTAAATCAATATTTTTTAAGTCGCTATAACCTTTAGCAATAAAATCCATCATACAGAAAAGACGCTTTAAATTATGTGAAAATACCCAGAAACAATGCAACATATAATACTTATTTCTTCCAAACTTCTCATCTTACTTTTAAAGATTTTTTGTACCAAAATTTTTTTTATGAGGAAAACAACAAAAGCACATATTCTCTTTTGTTCCCTTGAAACCTGTTTTGCGTGTGTGGAAATGCTGTTTCTTATTGGGAAGAAAAATATTCATGTCTATATGAAGTATTGCAACATTCAGTCCTTCACTGCCACATATGAAAATGGGCAAGACCTTTCGAATGTGAACTTTATCTTGGATATTTACTTTTCACTATATAAATATAGATAGATAGATAGATAGATAGATAGATAGATAGATAGATAGATCTATCTATCTATCTATCTATATATATATATATAAAGGGAATGACGTAATCCACGCCTTCACAATGGATAAAAACCAAAAACTCCGTGTAGATATCCAGAGTTGTGACGGAGAACATGCCTATGCTGTGTACACTACATTTTATATCGGAGATGAAAACAATAAATATACACTTACAGTATCTGGATACAACGGAACAGCGGGTGAGTAGTGGGATCCTTCAATGTAGTGAGATGAAGGTATTATATATTGACAGTATATGAAGGATAAATGCTTACAGTGCAGAGAATGCATACGCATTGAAATACATAGACACGGAGAATATTGAAACTTTTCATTTTTACGAATTTAAATTTATTTCCCTCGACACAAATTGGATTCTTTAAAGCTAACTTAAATTCTTCCCAAGTCATAGGGCTCTTCTGAGAATCATTGACTTCTCTTAGATGAGACACCATCACTAGCAGACTTCCAATAGAACCCTTTACCCATTTTTAGGTGATTTGAAACATATCATATGCATAGACACAACAGCAATCCTCTGATTGTTTGCCAAACGCCCCTGGCCACCGAACCATGAGCTCAGATCTATTTCATCATTATGTTTATTTTCAATAAATTTAATATACCAATGGACACAAAGTAATATGATATGTTTGTTCACAATTGAATTTTAAAACATCATCAAATATTTTTTTTTTTTAAATCTGAAATAACACCATGACGTTTTAAAATCTCGAATTTACGTAAAATTACGTGTTTGTAATGATTAACACTAGAATTCAAATGTAGTTTTACGCAAAAAATTCACTGTTGCAATCTAGTTATCATTCTTTACGATATATTCAATATCCACTTCCAGTTCGCTATTAGTAATATTGAAACATAAAGCAGATTTCACTAAGTGCAATTTCAAAATTTCTCAGGGATAGTAACATTTTCCTCTCACCATTCATAACAAGTAACTCGATCCGGTAACCATCTGAGGTATCCTTTTCCTCATTGATCCCGATACGAAGACGTTTCTAGTCACTATGAGTTTAGATAATACAAATAAGTGCTTTACCAGATTGTGGGAAAGCAATTCAACTTAACATATACACGGTACACAGATCAATCATATTTTAGATATTTTTTTTCCCTTACTGTGCATGATGCTAAAAATATCATTTATATATCAACAAATCATAAAAGAGATCAGTTGGTGAGGTGACTCATTATATGGTATAAGGTCTACCTCTTAAAGACCTGAATTATGATAATTAAAGTGGCGGTTACCATGGTTACTGTGTATCGATAAATATCTTATAAATAATTAGTGGACATTAATGTTATCTATACTCTGTTACAGGTGACAGTTTAAAGTATCACAATGGTATGAATTTCACCACTCAGGATCAGGACAACGACAAGAGGATTGATGGTAATTGTGCTATAGTACGACAGGGAGCCTGGTGGTACAGGAACTGTGACTACTCAAACCTTAACGGGCAGTACGCCCAGTCTGCCCTGTCTGGTCAATACTACTCAAAATGGTGGCACTTGAAACGTAAAAATGAAGCATTAAAGCAGACTCAGATGATGATCAGGCACAAAGACTACAGTTAATGTATCATCAATCCTGAAATACTTACAAGGAAATTAATAGTCAAGTTTTGTTACAGATAAGAGTTTTAGCATTTCTATATGATTTCGTTCTTACTCAGTATCAATAATTATTCTATGTTTTAATTAAGGTACTTTAAACTCTACACCTATATTATAGAGTAAAATCAATCTTGTTCATTATTTTTATGATTAAAGACTAAAATCAAGCTGAGTAAACATTCTTTTTTGATGTATTTTTCAGGTAATATCCATGCATTGCAAGTATTAAGATTCCTGCTCTGTTTCTTATGACATGCTCACTCCTCCATGGCACCTAATCCAAACTATGATGTTTTGGAGGTCCGTGTTTGCTCTGCTCCTATTTTGTAATGTTTAATGGACTTTTGAGCTTGAATACTGTTCGTTGTCTCCATATATTTCATTCATATACTAAAATTTCGTCTTCTCACTATATGATACCTGCATCATTTCAAAACGTCTGCTGGAAATACGAATGTCATAACCAGAACGGACTGCACAGAAATTTTGTGGTAATTGGTAATTAATATCAGCATTAATGAATATACAGTGGTTGCTGTGTCATAATAAATACTCCCTCAGGTATAATTGAAAAAAGATGAGGTTTTTGTCACTGGTTATAAAACTTATATATATATACATAAAATAAAATTAAGAGAACGGCACTGTTCAGATCAAAGGTTCAGACTTTCAAAGGCAAACTAGTTTTCTTTTTTTGTATTTTTTAAAAATAGGTATACATAATACTTTTAAATTCTTATTATCTCAGATGTTATTAGAAATAGCTCTTTTGAAGTTGATAATATTTATTTAAAGTTTGGCGTATCTGGTCACGGTGACATAATTTTACGACAAATTTGGGATTAGCCACCGGGTTGTCTGCCTAACAATAAATGGCGACCCCAAGTGGGCTAAAATGTGCAGTGGGTAAAGTTCAGGAATGCACAACGCCACGCAATATGGATACAATGGGCCAATATCCCATTAACAATGATATCAATGTCAAATGAATGGGCCAATAACCCATCAACAATGTTATCATATAGCAAATCAATATAATATGGTTCAATGGGTCAATATGGTAATTTAGTTTACCTACTATACTCTGAAGGGACTTTTATTGGGAAGCTCTAAGATTTGCGAGATTTCTAGACCTTTTATAGCTGGGATTCGAATTTTAATTTTTATTGAGTCTATTTCTAAACCCAGGAACATTAAGCATGTGGTGGGCCCCCGGGATAATATGGAATATCTAATATCTAAATAGCACGTCCCCTGGGTATATACTAATATTAGCCTATATACACTTTTAATGTCTGCTTTAGTCAAGAGGGGCCCCTTTTGTAACTTGCTTATGGTATCCACAACTGTGTCGAAAGGTGTGTAGAACTGTTGTGTCCCTAGGGTCTATGTATGCGTTATTATTTCATACGTGTGGAGGATATAACCCATGAGACAAACCTATGCTTTATCCACGGGTGGATGCTTTATCAATAGCATTTTCGGTTTTGACACAATTCCTTGCTTCAAGATGTAAATTGATCAAAACTTTGATTTGTGAAAATTCTTGCCATATTAAATGAATGTTAATGAGCAAAAATGTTGTTAAAAGGAAGAAAAAGGCTCGTATACTTCAATGAAGTGTCAATTGAAGAGTCAAATTTACTTTCTTTCGACGCAACGTGTAAACATCAACAGTGCGACGTCATCAATATATATGCGTCATCAATTTGGAAAGAAATCATTCATACAGTTTTACAGGGGTTATCTCAAAGTTTTGTCAAAAATGAAAATCGTATGAGATAAATAGAACATTTATAATTGTGTGATTTAATAACTGCTTTATCCAACTCGTTGAAATGGTGTATATTCGTTCAGCAAGCCTCGCGAATATACACCATTTCAACTCGTTGCATAAAATGAATATCAATTTACACAATATAGATATCCTCTATATATTAGATAGCCACTAGATAATTTACATGCCATAATTATGTAGGATGTCACATATATACGAAAGCCCAGAAGGCTCATTCGAGATTCGAGTTTCGAAATACGAGATTCGAAATTCGAGTTTCAAGATTCAAGATCCAAACTAACCAATCAAAAGGCGGTTTAAGATTCAATTACTTCCCTTTGCTAAGTTTTGACCTTCAAGAAATCGTTGAATATATTCAAACCGAAGAGGTCATTTGATTATATTACAATGCAAGAAAGAGTGTTATATATATAAGAACGAAATTAGAAAAAATATTGGGTTTTTGGCTGCAAAATATGCTTAAATTTATATCATAAATTTTTAAATATTATGATAAATTTATATCAAAAATATCTATATCGTATTATTTACTTTGTTTACAGGTTTGATGTCATAATAAATATAAATATTGTTAATCGGATTCAAAGAGCAAAAGGGGGGGGGGGGGGGTATGTAGTCGATGAAATTATTAGTGTGCAATTAAACAAGTGACTACCGATTAATAATAAATAGTAAAACAGGCCGGGTTTCAAAGTGGATATAGTTTCCGACAAGATATTAGAAAGTAACCAGTGACTAATACGGGTTTCAAAGTTAAGCGTGCAATAAAACAAATGACTTGTGATTAATAACTATAATTAGTAATACGGGTTTCAAAGTGGATATAGTTTGTGCCAAGGTATTAGAAAGTGACAGTGACCAATATGGGTTTCAAATTGGATATAGTTTGTGACAAGGTATTAGAAAGTGACCAGTGACCAAGTTTGTGAAACCAAGAGACAGTCCCTTAAGTACGGATGGCTGAAATATACATGCTTACATGTAATGATGATTTCTCTTTGTTCAGGCCCGTAGGAAATAATAAAAAAAATCACTGTAAAGCCCCCCCCCCCAAAAAAAAAAAAAACAGAGGGTTATCACGGTTATTAGACGTTATAAGGACACAAGCATAAAGTTGCATGTTTTCTATAGTACATTATATCGGTAAAAAATATAAAGTGAATTTGGGGGGGGGGGGGGGGAGAGACACGTGACCAGGGCCCTATGGCTATGTTGTTTATTTTATTACAACGGTAGACAAATGTTCGGTTATCAACTTTCAGTGTCAATCTTGCGATGCATGGGCAAAATAATTATATATTCGATAATTATTTATAAGGAAATCGCTCAGGTCTCGCAAGATACATAACCAATCAATACACAAGTTTCAATTCATGACGTAATGGTCATAGAGGAAAAAAAGATATAAAAGTATTTAATAATGATAAAAAATTAATTATTTTAACAAAACAAAGGACCCTTTATATACCTTTAGGACTTTGAAAAAATCGTATAGCCTAAAGGACTACGTATTAAAATTACTTAGTTCATGAATACCTTTTTAGTGTACACAGGAAATCTTGAAAGACATCGTATATAGTAGTGATAAAGAAAAATCGCGTTCGCTTTCCCAATGGTGTATATTCCATATAGGCAAAAAGGCTGTAGCCTACACATCATTTTCTTGATGAAAAAAAATATTTATTTATGCATGTATTTGATTGAAAAATGGGGGGAAGTTGATCATAAATCTTATTTATTTAACAGTTACTAGAATATTTTTTCATCAAATGCAATAAAAGTATTTTTAGCAATGCACACTTTTATGCCTTTTCAATTTTTACAGTATAAAATTTTTGATTTTTATAGCTGGTTAAATATAAAATTGAAATGTTACCTTGAAGACGATATCAGACCATTAAAAAATGACAGCAACAGGAGTCTATGATTAGGACAGGCAATAGAAATTAGGAAGTATGTTTGAATTAGTAGGAAGTCAAACATAAAACATTTTAAAAATTATATTTAGATTATTCAGCAAAAAAGTTTCCATAATTTCCGAGCTCTGTGTAAGGATTTTAAAATTTCTCAATTTTATTAAGAGTGGTCATAGAGATTTTAATTTCTGTATCATAAAAATATGTTTAAATGATTTATGATTATATACACTGGAAAAATGACAATGACAGATGTCGCAGAAAGTGGTCCTCCGACCCCCCCCCCTCTATTGAGAGGGGGCGACTCCCTCCTTGCCATTCGCAATTCGGCAATGATACGCTTTAGGTGAAATCTGTGACTTCACTTTAGCCTACACATTAGCAGAAGGGAATATACACCACTGTTTACCAATAGGAGAAATACATAAAAATTAAGTTTTCAATTACTTATCTTAGTCAAAGACTTTGAATATTTGAATTAATTAAAAATTATATATACAATACAGACTGGAATTTATTTTATTCCATATCAAATAGTAGATCAGTCTAACTGCACAAATGCACCCTTAAATGTAATGAAATGGATCCTTAATTAAATTACTGTGCAGTGTAAATACGATCCTTAGTATTTCTTATCAATAATAATTTTCTCCTTCATAAATGTTCTTATTTAATAATTTATTAACCTACTAATTTCGCGATTCAACGATAGGAACATATAATATTCTATGTATGTGTCTATTGTTTTGTTTAATGAGGAAAATAAGATTTTATAAACATTTTTCAAGACATTACCCAAAATTCATTTGTATTTTGCTTTGATACATAAAACATATTTTCTTGTATTATTATTTAAGCAAATGACCCATTTGTTATAAATATATTCGGTGATTTCTTGATAGTGAAAACTTAATAAAGGGGAGTAATCAAATATTGAATCCGCCTTTTAATGGGTTAGTTTGGATCTTGAATCTCGAAACTCGAATTTCGAATCTCGTATTTCGAAACTCGAATCTCGAATGAGCCTTCTGGACTTTCGTACATATAAGTACGACATGTAATGCTATTTTTTAGTGAAAAACAAAGGAAAATTATGATAATCTCTAAAAGTGTACAGACACTATGACATTCAAATGGATCTGTTCTGCATAATGTGACGTAATTTGGAAATGACGTTATAATAATATGACTGAAAAGCCTTACTGCAGACATAAAATTTTAATATTTGCATTAGTTTACTTCGCATAAGCTGTCGCGTTTATTTAATGCCTAGTTCACACGGAGAGTTTAATTCGCAGTATTTACACTTGCAAAATTTTTCTTAGATGAACCTATTGAAGAGAAAAAAGTTCAATTCTGTATGAACTTATTAGGGGTTCAGAGGTCATAGCTTGACCGAATCACAGAGCGAGACGATATCTTGTTCACATATTTCTGTCGCAGTGCAACTAGTTTCAGAACTTCTAAGTTAATAGCGAAGAAAAAGATAAAATAATTGAAATATATGGATATTTTTCATCACAGATGTTCAATAGATCTTCTTTTCGTGTGAAGAATGTGCTGAATACCATCATTAGCCTAAAATCGCACTTACCTTTTCAACCCGAAATTCCTTTGATATTATGTTAACTAAAACAGGCGATTCCACCGCTTTTGACTTCAAATATATTAAGAACTCATAAAATAGTAAGATTATTCTCAGTAGTGATCATATTTCTTTCATTATAAACAGAGAATTCCTGAACTGGACCGCTGAACGTCAATGTAAATATTCAAATGTTGGAGCGAGGCGAACTTTCAAGACCAAACAACTTCTAGGTCATTGCGCGTCACAACATAGCAATACGGAGGCCCGTTCTTGTAATACTTGCAGTTTTACTCGAAATATTCGTCTCAAATATAAATATGAGTAATAAACAACAATGTTAAAAAGTTCACTGGGAATTGAACTTGGTTGGTACGTGATAAAATCTACTGCAAAGTCCTTCGGGCTTCACAGCATTTGATCCCTTGACCAACCAAGTTCATTTCCCAGAGAACTTTTTAACATTGTTGTTTTTTTTCTTAAGTAAATTAATGCGAAGTGGAAATAATGCGAATTAAATTAATATGAATTAAATTGCGTTCACACGACAGCTAATGCGAAGTAAACTAATGCGAATGCAGATGTTATTGCTACAAAGGCTTTTCAGTAAGGCTATTATGACGTCATTTTCTAATCACGTCATCTTATACAGAGCATATCTATTTGACATAATGGCATAGTGTCTTCAGGAACACATTTCAGTGATTAGCATAATGTTCCTCTGTTTTCACTAGAATATAGCACTTAGTACTATAGTACTTATAGTAATATAGTACTTATATCTGACCTCTATTATATAGCATGTGACTTACTTTTGCAATTACACATGCGTCAAAATTTAATTAGAATTAGCTTTGCTTAGCGTTCACAGGGAGCTAATGCGAAGTAATTAAGTGCACAGTAAATTAATTTGTATTAAACGAATTCGTATTAAATTCCCCGTGTGAACGCTGTTAAAATTGAATTCGCAGTAACTTACGCTTAATTCGAATTAAACTCTCCGTCTGAACAGGGCATTACTTTGCATCAATGTACTGCAAATTAAATTCTCCGTGTAAACAGGGCATAAAAATCGGTTTGAAACAATTATCCAAATTCCTGCTCGTCTGTGTAGGCTTGAAGATACTGCGAGAATATCTGAATTAGAAATTTGTGTGCTTCCCTGGGACTTAAGTGTTGATTAGGCTCTAATATCATTTGAAAGCTTGTTAAATTTGCTATTTAATGATCCTTATTTAAACTTCCATTTATATCTTATTAAAAAAAATTATTGATACTTTAATTCAAAATCTAATGAATAAATATTTTATAAATCAACTTTTTTTGTATTTCACCTCTCGCAGTCATCATTTTGCCTCAAGGTAGATTAAAGATTGAACTTAAAAATCATATCTTAGATTTTTGATAAATCTTCTTATTCAAAAGTTACAGCCAATATATTAGCCTAATTTTACATTTGCCTCAATAATTCACGAACTAAGCAAGATATCAAAAGTCTGAGATACGGATTTGTGAACACACATTTGCGAAGCAATTGAGCCAGTTTTCAAAGAAATTGCTGTATAAATGAAGGAGCTGAATCCTTTGAAATGATACCACAAACTGTCTGTTCTTACTTTACAGTAGAGGCCAAAAAACCATTACACAACAAAATCTGCCAAAGCTAGAAATATACGACATCTTAGAGTTTCAGCTTTGGATACCTGTCGCTTATCCATATTTCCTATGCATCTTCACAAGAATGGGAGGTTCTTTTCTGTATTTAGGTGTTTTCAATTAAGTAAAACAAGTTCAATCCTGTATTAGAAAGATTTCCTGGCAAAATGGCAAGAGCTAGGCCCCATCTCCAATTTTATGGTCATTAGTGATCTGTTAGGTCTCCCTCCCTAAATCTAGAGTCCCTGTAGTTAATTACTGATAACCTCTGTGTGGCTAGTGAAGAATTCCCCAACTGTTCACAGTGATTTATTGCATCTTTCAGAGCAGGCAGTCACAGATCAAATCAGAAGTTTCAATAACGGAACATTCACATGTGTTAGTGTTTATGTATCATTATTATTAAATAATTAGAAAACCAATTCATAATCAGCAAGAATTTTTCATGCATTATGAAGCAGTGATTAACTTCTTTTTCTTAGCCAAATATATCTCAGAATCGACATAAATCTTGAAAAAAAGCCGTTGGTGTATCTTTAAGGTAGGTCGCGGGTTTACTGCGTAAAAAATCTTGCGAAAAAACATGTCTTGAAAATTTGATATAATGTTCCTCAGAATTTGTAGCTTATTATTTGTAATTTTTATCAAATTTGCCTACTTGGATTTCATGCTATATTTCTGTCAACGCGGCATAGTTTTTGGTACTATTTTTACGCTTTCCTATGGAAATATAAAGAAAAATGGCGTTTAAAAACCAATTTTACGGAAAGAGTTTCTTTTAAAAACGTCGAATAACTTTTTTTAAAGACGTAGACGAATTAGTCAAGAATTTCAAAATATCAAAATGAGGTAAAATTTGAAATATTGAGATAAAAAAAAATCAATATGTCTTCTCGTTAGTTTTTTTTTTTTTTTTTTTTTTTTTTTTTGCTATATAATTTCAAAGTTTACGTTTATATTACCAAAATGTTGCGTTTTAATATGGCGTTATTTATGACTATAACGTCATTTTGAAGAATGTTATTGCGTTTACATGGATAGCTTTATATTTGGAGTATACGAGATTAAAAAGTTGACATAGATGTACACTGTAATTTTATTCAGCATTTCACTTATTGCGGAAACACGTTAGGAAGACCTGCAACTTATCTCCACTAGTACTGATACTGCCCACATAGTCAGAATGAACGGTATATTGATATACACATTCTTTTCTTCATTAGAACTAATATCCAGCGATAACACCATAATTCATGTACTTTTAGGGCTTTCATGTTCATTCAAATTTTATCACTTCATTCGAAAACGATGAAAAAAAACCCATATCCACTACTGAGGAAAGGGGTGAGGGGGAGGGGGAGGGGGGGTTACTGGCAATGTTCTTTTTACATCAGTTGCATGCCAGTATATCGCCCTCACTCTCAAACATTTGTTATTTTTCTTTATCAAATTTTCATCGGCAAAATATAAATAACTTGCATTCAGCTTATACACACGCAGCTTTTTTGAATAAAAAAATGTTCTTGATACTTTTTTTACGTAATAGTATATGATTATTTTTTTACAGTATCATATAGGATATATTATATAAATATTGCATGCTAGCTAGGGTAATATTGGAAATTGTCACCCCAAGAAAACCATTGTTGACAGAGGCGAAGCCGAGGTCAACAGTCTTTTTCGAGGGGTAACAATTTCCAATGTTACCCTAGCTAGCATGCAATATTTATCATATTATACTGAATGTGATATATAAAATGTTTCACAGTGTATGTATCAAAATGAAACAACTTTACTTTTTTAAAAATGTCTTTCTTTAATCACAAGTCAAATTGAATTCAATTAATATCACAGAACACTGTGTTGAAAGAAAAAAATATCACATCACACCATGTTTTTAATTAAATAAATATCATATAACATATAACATTAACTGAACAAATGAATATCTCAGAACAAATGGATATCACAGTTTGAGTGGAACATAATATTAAGGATCAGTTCAAAGAAGTTCACTATTTACTTTGGGGGCACAAAGTTGAAATGAACCACACAGTTATTGAGAGATTGGTATAGATTAATGACCATTGAACTGACACTAGGGGGTACTGTATTTAAGTTTAAGAAATTTAGTGGCTGTGGAGATTCCATCGATTTCTCCTGGTTTGTAGGAACTTCTGAAAATGTAATGTCATTAAATATAGCATCGAGTTCCTCCATAGTTATATCTTCTAAAGCAACGTTTTCATTCTCTTTCTGATCATCTCGTGATCCTAGAATTCCACTTAAACAGTCTGTCATTTCCCGTTTCTTTGGATCACTGAGTTTTTCAACCATCGATCAGTTTATTGAATTCTCCATCTCTCATAGTCTACGGAATTTTGTTCATATAAATTCCACTATATACTAAGCCAGGAGCGATAACTCTTAAAGTTATGATGAAATTTGAGAAAACGAACAGTAATCAAGCTCAAAGGTTAAACACAGACCTCTGAAAACAGAGGTGTGATCAGGTGCCATGGAGGATTGAGTGTCCGCTATCGACTGGTCACACCCAACGTGTGCTCTTCATCGGTAAAATAATATAGATACATCTGTACACAGTTCAGTGTGAAAATAATGGCCTTATAATTCTTATAAAAGACTTCAGTAATATATTCGACTTAACCAATGAAATATGTGGAGATAACGAACAGTATTCGAGCTCAAAAGTCCATTAAACATTACAAAATAGAAGCAGAGCATACAGGACCTCTAAGACATCAGAGATGGGATCAGGTGCCATGGAGGAGCGAGCATCCCCTGCCGATCGGTCGCACCCGTCGTGTCCTCCTTGTCATGATCAGAAAATAACGGAAAAATCCGTCGACAATTCAGTGTGTAAATAATGGCCTAACAATCAGTATGAAAAAGGGCAGTCAGCATTTGACTTAAAGATTGTATTTGCTGACAAGGTCATTGTATCGACCAAAGAACTTACGAAATGATGACTTTAAACGAGACTTCTGATATTCTTGTTTCATCAACTTGTTTGTCAAAAACTTACATCGTTTTAGAAATTTTTCATACGTACAGCATGTTCTAGCGTATCGAATCAGCTGAGAGATATATAAAGTGAAAAATAAAATGCAGTTTCCATGTTAATGATTCATCCAACCTTCTCATGTAGAAGAGAAAACTCTGCCTCATAGGAGTATAAAACAAGTTGGCTTATAAAATCATGCCATAGTAAATAAAGAAAAATGATGTTTAAGATTTCAAAATATCCAAACTAACAAACTTGTTTATTTCAATAACGAAGGGAATGAGGCAACCCACGCCTTAAGAAGGGATAAAAAGCAAGAACTCCGAATTGATCTCCAGAGACATAATGGAGAACAGGCTTATGCTGTGTATGCCACATTTTACATCGTAGATGAAAACAATAAATATACCCTTACAGTATCTGGTTACAACGGAATAGCAGGTGAGTGAAAAGTTCAAGATATTGTATAATGAAAATATATTAAACATATTAGGTGCATATAGTGCCGAACATAAGTTTTTCAATACAGAGACAGGGGGTATTTTAACATGTCATGTATGAAAATATAAATTCAAAGTTCTTCGGCACATGCCATTTATTTTAAAAACTTATCTAAATCCTTCCCAGGCCTTGAGGCTCATAGGCTAATATAACTGATTTCTGTAGATTTCTGTAGTGCTAAGCGATATCAGTCATAAAATTTTCTTCAATGAGACTCAAGCCATCGCAAGCTAATCTCCATAATTCTTATCTAGTTATCTGGTGGAAGAAACAATACTGATGGGTATCTCATGTGTTGACACAATACAGTCCAAACATTGAGATTTGAACAACCAGCAATCTTTGAAAGCTTGGCAAACGCCTCTTAGCCACTGAACCATCTTCGTATCAATAGTTTGTCTATGATAACTGAAAGGGTATATTCACACCTGAGTCTAGGACAATGGACTAATCGTTAATGTTTAACGATAATTATCTAATTGATTAATTAAAAAGTTGAAGATTTCAATATGATCAATACTGTGTTCCAGGTGACAGTTTGATTTATCATAATGGTATGAGATTTACCACTAAAGATCAAGACAATGACGTCAACAGCGGTGTTAACTGTGCTACGTCATGGCAGGGAGGCTGGTGGTACAAGTCCTGCCACCACGCCAACTTAAACGGAAAAATTCGCCGAGGCAAATGTGTCTGGTTGTCAATATGCGGTATGGTTTCATTGGAAAAGAAACTACGAAGCGCTACAAAAGACTAAGATAATGATGAGATATTAGAACTAGATTAAATGTATAATCTGTCCGGATATATTTGTCAAAATTTATAGTTTTTCCTTGTATACGATTTTTCTTTTCTCACAAAATATCACACATATCAGTTTGTCTCTTCCTTATTTCAGAGTGTAATAAATTTTGACATATTTATAATTAATTTGTCTTCTTTAAATGATGGTACATGTGATATGCCATTCCAAGGAGACAGGTGTACTTAACTTGTCATGACTAAACCTGAAGGGACAGCATACTGAATCCAGATGTCGTATAAATTAGCAGTTTGGTAGCACTGAATTATACTGTGATCTGATCATTGAGCTGTCTGGTACATGTAGTACTGAAGCTATCAAGTTATTTGTGACGTGCTCAAAAGGCCGTCTGGTTTCTCTCTTTATTATAACTGTTATTAATACCCAAGTGCGGTGATGGCGGAAACAGAGAAACACTATGATAAAACAATATGCAATTTATTAGCGCCCGCAATTTTAATATAGTACACAATACTAAGACAATATCGGAGCTGACAGACAGGTCTGTCCTGCTCGTCAGATTACACAAAAAGAGAGCGAGGATAGATACACGTCACAGCAGGTGCAGTCGTATACCACGTGATCGGAGGTAGCAGGGCAATCCGTGCTTAGCACCTCCAGGACCACTACACTCCTCCCCATTTTGATAAAGGGCGTCCCCGCCCGTAATACAATGGGACAAACTATAATGTACACCAGAGTAAAACAGATTAACACCTAGCAGGGCCTACCATACAAATACACATAAACAATACAAGCATACAATATCAATATCAATTACTCATTAATGTTCATAATAAAATTATATAAAATTAACACAGTAAATGTCACAGATACTCATGACACTCCTCCGAACCCCGAGTCGTCTCGGTCCAACGCGTAGTCCCTCGATGATCTCCGACTCCTGTCGTCTACCACGTAGTCCAACTTTGTCATTATCCACTCAACTTGCATACAGGACATCCACAAACTTCAAAACATCCAGAACAGACATGGTATCTAACGTTAATTCCACATCCATGACTCCGTCATGAATGCTCCATCCCAGCCCTGGTAAGCTCTGCCACATCTACCAGAACGTCGACTCTGCGGCCATAACATCATAAATAATACTTCCGGGACCTGGATATCCCAAACAGCAGGTGCGTGTCGTATACCACGTGATCGGAGGTAGCAGGGCAATCCATGCCCAGCACCTCCAGGACCACTTCACCAAGTTTATTGTGACGTGCACAAAAGGCAGTCTGGTAGAATCTAGTAATGATACACTGTTAAATGTGTCATTGAAAAACGATGTAGTACAAATTAAAATCTTAATGTGTCATTGATAAAACAATGTAATACAAATACACTGTTTAATGTGTCATTGATAATACAATGTAATACAGGTTAGACTGTGTAATGTGTCGCTGATGAAACAATGTAATACAGTTTAGACTGTACAATTTGTCACTTATAAAGCAATGTTGTGCAGAGTAGATTGTGTAATGTGTCACTGATAAAACAATGTAATACAGATTATACTGTGCAATGTATCACTGATAAAACAATGTGGTACAGATTAGACTGTGTAATGTGTCACTGATAAAACAATGTAGTACAGATTACACTGTGTAATGGGTCATTGATAAAACAATGTAGTACAGATTACACTGTGTAATGTATCACTGATAAAACAATGTAGTACAGATTACACTGTGTAATGTGTCACTGATAAAACAATGTAGTACAGATTAGACTGCGTAATGTGTCATAGATAAAACAATGTAGTACAGATTAGACTGTGTAATGTGTCACTGATGAAACAATGTAGTACAGATTACACTGTGTAATGTGTCACTGATGAAACAATGTAGTACTGATTACACTGTGTAATGTGTCACTGATAATACAATGTAGTACAGATTAGACTGTGTAATGGGTCATAGATAAAACAATGTAGTACAGATTAGACTGTGTAATATATCACTGATAAAACAATGTAGTACAGATTAGACTGCGTAATGTGTCACTGATAAAACAATGTAGTACATATTAGACTGTGTAATGTGTCACTGATAAAACAATGTAGTACAGATTAGACTGTGTAATGTGTCACTGATAAAACAATGTAGTACAGATTAGACTGTGTAATGTATCACTGATAAAACAATGTAGTACAGATTATACTGTGTAATGTGTCACTGATAAAACAATGTAGTACAGATTAGACTGTGTAATGTATCACTGATAAAACAATGTAGTACAGATTACACTGTGTAATGTATCACTGATAAAACAATGTAGTACAGATAAGACTCTGTAATGTGTCACTGATGAAACAATGTAGTACAGATTACACTGTGTAATGTGTCACTGATAAAACAATGTAGTACAGATTAAACTGCGTAATGTGTCACTGATAAAACAATGTAGTACAGATTATACTGTGTAATGGGTCATTGATAAAACAATGTAGTACAGATTATACTGTGTAATGGGTCATTGATAAAACAATGTAGCACAAATTACACTGTGTAATGTGTCACTGATAAAACAATGTAGTACAGATTACACTGTGTAATGTATCACTGATAAAACAATGTAGTACAGATTACACTGTGTAATGTATCACTGATGAAACAATGTAGTACAGATTATACTGTGTAATGTGTCACTGATAAAACAATGTAGTACAGATTATACTGTGTAATGTGTCACTGATAAAACAATGTAGTACAGATTAGACTGTGTAATATGTCACTGATGAAACAATGTAGTACAGATTAAACTGCGTAATGTGTCACTGATAAAACAATGTAGTACAGATTATACTGTGTAATGGGTCATTGATAAAACAATGTAGTACAGATTATACTGTGTAATGGGTCATTGATAAAACAATGTAGTACAGATTAGACTACGTAATGTGTCACTGATGAAACAATGTAATACAGATTACACTGTGTAATGTGTCACTGATAAAACAATGTAGTACAGATTAGACTGTGTAATGTGTCACTGATAAAACAATGTAGTACAGATTAGACTGTGTAATGTGTCACTGATAAAACAATGTAATACAGATTATACTGTGTAATGTGTCACTGATAAAACAATGTAGTACAGATTAGACTGTGTAATGTGTCACTGATGAAACAATGTAATACAGATTACACTGTGTAATGTGTCACTGATAAAACAATGTAGTACAGATTAGACTGTGTAATGTATCACTAATAAAACAATGTAGTACAGATTACACTGTGTAATGTGTCACTGATGAAACAATGTAGTACAGATTAGACTGTGTAATGTGTCACTGATGAAACAATGTAGTACAGATTAGACTGTGTAATGTATCACTGATAAAACAATGTAGTACAGATTAGACTGCGTAATGTGTCATAGATAAAACAATGTAGTACAAATTTGACTGTGTAATGTGTCACTGATGAAACAATGTAGTACAGATTACACTGTGTAATGTGTCACTGATAAAACAATGTAGTACATATTATACTGTGTAATGTGTCACTGATGAAACAATGTAGTACAGATTACACTGTGTAATGTGTCACTGATAAAACAATGTAGTACAGATTACACTGTGTAATGTATCACTGATAAAACAATGTAGTACAGATTACACTGTGTAATGTGTCACTGATAAAACAATGTAGTACAGATTATACTGTGTAATGTGTCACTGATGAAACAATGTAGCACAAATTACACTGTGTAATGTGTCACTGATAAAACAATGTAGTACAGATTACACTGTGTAATGTATCACTGATGAAACAATGTAATACAGATTACACTGTGTAATGTGTCATAGATAAAACAATGTAGTACAGATTAGACTGTGTAATGTGTCACTGATGAAACAATGTAGTACAGATTACACTGTGTAATGTGTCACTGATAAAACAATGTAGTACAGATTAGACTGTGTAATGTGTCACTGATAAAACAATGTAGTACAGATTAGACTGTGTAATGTGTCACTGATAAAACAATGTAGTACAGATTATACTGTGTAATGGGTCATTGATAAAACAATGTAGTACAGATTATACTGTGTAATGGGTCATTGATAAAACAATGTAGTACAGATTAGACTGCGTAATGTGTCACTGATGAAACAATGTAATACAGATTACACTGTGTAATGTGTCACTGATAAAACAATGTAGTACAGATTATACTGTGTAATGTGTCACTGATAAAACAATGTAGTACAGATTAGACTGTGTAATGTGTCACTGATAAAACAATGTAGTACAGATTACACTGTGTAATGGGTCATTGATAAAACAATGTAGTACAGATTATACTGTGTAATGTGTCACTGATAAAACAATGTACTACAGATTTATACTGTGCGATATGTCACTGACACAATAATTTATTACAGATTGGAGTATATTATGTGTCACTGATTAAATAATGACTGTGTTACAGTCCCTGAAACGTTCTGCTTTCCCACTTGAACGGTGAACGAACGCTGAACGAACGGTGAACGAACGCTGAACGAACGCAGAGCGAACGGTGAGTGAACGATGTGTGAACGCTGAACGCAACTTGATGAACGATGTGTGAACGCTGAACGGTGAGCGAACGCAGAACGCGAACGGAGCGCAAACGCGAACGCAAAGTGAATGGTGAACGAACAGTGAACGCAAGATGAACGATTTATTCGGAATCCCTCTGATCTTTTCCTTGCATTGAAACTATTCTATTGTATTCTAATGTCAGGTGCCAAAAAATAAACAAATTAATGAATAAATAAATAAAAATAATTGCTACAAAATTGTCTTAAGAAATTAAAGACGATACATGCACATAAAGTAAAACTAAGTTTTTTACTTGTATGATGTTTAAATTCAACTTTTTAATCAAACGATTTTTATCGCTGTAAAACAT